TGGACTCACAGAAGAATGAAATCATTGGCTCTCCTGGCTCTCAGCTTGCCAAGTATAAATCCTGGTATTTCTAAGCTGCCATAATTGCATGAGCCAATTTCTAACATTGCCTACCTGTGTATCTATCACCTCTTGGTTCGTTTTCTTTGGAGAATCCTAATACATCCTGGTTGAGAACTGGAGTTGTAGATTATGTTAATGGGGCAGGAGATGAAGTTAAGAGTGTAATAGGGAAGAGAAATAGGAACAAGGCAAAAAACTTCAGGGAAACGGCTACAGTACTGGTCTTTCCAGAGATGGTAAGACACCAACAGATTGTGGTTGGTAAAAATGGATCCAGTGGTACATTTTTGGATCACACCTCCAAAATGTTACCCAGGATATAGACTGCTTACTTCAATGGTAGGAAGACAACAATTAGCAGACACTGCTGTAAAATAAGAACACAATCTATAAGCTAAGCTAATACAAGGTTCTGTGATTGTCACATTTACTCATCTTAATAAAATACATAAAATCCATTGTTTCTATTCCAACTAGAAGACACAAAATTTCTAAAAGGTTTTTAGAGAAAATTCACAGTACATTAAGGGGAAGAGTTTATACAAATTATTATTCATTTCAGTCTCCTATATTTGCTATGCATTACTTGTTTTTATTTTTGTACCAGGGATTGAACTCAGGACTTTGCACTTGAGAGGTGCCACTGAGCTAAATCCCTGGCCCTGCTATGTATTACTTGCAATTTACTGATTTTTGTCAGTGAACATTTTTTATTATACAAGTTTTTATGATCTATTTTTTATTTTTTATTTATTTTTTAAAGATCTATTTCTTTTAAAGAATTTCAAGTTTATACTGATTATTTCTGACCAAATTATATGGCATGAGAGAGGAGCTGATGACAAAGTCAACTGCACTGGTGCAATATTTTCTAAGTAAACTAGTGTGGCACAGACATGCAGTTTGGGATTCCTTGTATTTAAGACATCCAGGCTCAGGACTGTGTAACCTACCAGTTTTCAAAAACAAAAACAAAAAACAAAACCACATACAGATATACAACAGAGAATCATCATTTACAGATTTCACTCTTAAGAATTTAAAAATTGTATTAAAATGCCACAGACCTATATTTAAACATACAAAGACACAAATTATGAAAACTCTTCACTGGCCTACTGGTAACCTCAATTACTACAAAAAACTGATACTTATCATTTAGGACCTGAGTTACAACATCAAGATTTGCCTGTACAGTACAAATTTTAATGAAATTAAACATTTTTCAAGGGCCGGGGATTTAGCTCAGCGGTTCAGTGGCCTGCCTTGCAAGCACAAGGAAACGAGTTCAATCCCCAGTACCAAAAAAAAAAGGAAGTACATATTAATCATGGAAAAGGATAATCTGAAAAATGTTTTTTGGAGTTTTTGTGGTTTTTTTTTTTTGGTACCAGGGATCAAACTCAGGACCTGTGCTTGTGAGGCAGGCGTGATGCCAATGAGCTAAATCTCTGACCAAGGAAACTTTAAATAAAGCTGAAACTGGCAAAGTTTTTATTTCATTTCTGGTACCAGGGATCAAACTCAGGAACTTGTGCTTATGAGGCAGGTGTACTGCCACTAAGCTAAATCCCTGGCAAAGTTTTTATTTCAATAGCTTTCTCCCTTGCAGGCTGAAGAAAAAAAATGATAATTACTCTGAAAGTCAATAGGAATTCAAGCTATTGAATACTGTTATTTCTACAGAATTTGTAAAAAATAGCTTTGTCAATCACTGAGTATTAAATAGTCCATGTCTGCTTCTAATACATTCTAGAATTTACACATTGCAACTCTGAAGTTAATAGGTTTAGCTACAGAATAAATAGTTTTTAATATTGTTGATTTTTATCAATAATACTGATAGAAGTTAACACAATTTTACTACAAATCCTCACAACACCCCTATGGGGTAGGCATTGCTTATTCCCACTTTACAGGTGGGAAATCACAAAGTCATAGCAAAAAGTAATAATCTCAGAAGTTAGATATCAAGAAATTGTGGTTTTGTTATAAGGCAGTCTATACTTAGATATTCAGTCTGTAATATGTAATAAGGACAAATACTCAAACATTCTTTATTTTTCTCAAGAAAACAACTACGTGGGGGATCCAAAAGAAAGGATAATTTTTTTTGGTAAGTTTTATGTTTTGTTTTGTTTTTTATAAAGAAGGGATAATTTAAAGCTCATCCAAGGGGAAAATGTCTACCTGCTACACTGATCAAAGTGTATATGGTATCTCCAGTTTTAAGCTGGGTACTGACTACACAAACCACTTTATACAGTATTACTAGGATACTGCTTAGTGGTATAGCTCCATTTTGCAGATATAGTGAAAACTAAAGGTCTTAGCTGGAAGAACTTTTTCCTTTATTCCTTTTTTTTTTTTTGGTAAAGTCCAATGGAAAGAACTTTTTAAATACAAATACAAAGTAGTATTTTTTTTTTAATTTTTCTTTTTTCTTTTTTTTTTTTGGTT